GACGGGCTCCAGAGGCCCGGTCTCGGTGACATGAGTAGCAGCTTGCCAGTCGATGAGTGTCTGTTCACCTTGGAGCATGCGCTCATCCACGAGCTCCTCCACACCCACGGCCGTGACGGCACACATGCCTTTCCAGTTCGGCTTCGGCGCTCGAACCTGGGGCACAAGAATAATAAGTTGAACCCCGCTGAAGCCGTGCTAAGTGCGAACCCAGAAACACAAGGCAGCAGACTCAGGCAAAGGCTTGTTGTATAAAGGCAGCTCCGGCTTCCGGCACGCCCTTTGAATAAGCCGCTTGGGCAGCAGGTCCAAAGAAGATCTCGAATAAGTCATCCTTTCCTGCCCGAACCTTGGCCACACGCTCCACCCCATTTCGGTTGACGATGCGGACAGCCGTCGAGTTCTCCTCTCCTGCGGCTTCGCGAGTTCGGAAGTCCGACGCCCAGAAATGAAAGGTGGCCAAGCCGTCTTCATGCCCTGGGGGTGCTTCGTTGACGTGTCCTTCGGCACAGCCAAACTTGTTTTCGATGTCCAGCAATGCGTAGTTCAGTATAGGTCTGGCTTCAGGCACTGCAGAGTCTACAGTGGAATGGGCAAGAAATGCATCAAACAGGTTTTGGTTGTCGGTGTAAGGGTTCACGTAGATTTGTCTCAGGAATAGAGCGAAAAAAACCAACGTCCGATATGTTGCGCGTACATAGAACAGGCCATTGTTCAGGCAGCGGGCATCCCAATGTTCCGTGACCAAGACTTCGACTCCCTGGTGGTCCAGTGCAGATTCTGGGGTCGTGGACGTCAAATTGTATGTCCAGTACTGCCTGTTCGGCCAGGTCCGCACAGCTCGGCAACGGCACCCACATGCAGTTTCACACCTGCCTTGGGTCGCAAATCTTCGACAAGGAGCACAGGTCCGTCGTGTTGTCAAACAAGAAGGAGCCAAATCGAACCTGATAACGGGCCGATTTAGGACAATGACCGACCATTGCACTTGAAGAGAAATCGTGCCAGTGTGACCTAGCGAAGGTAACAACAACGCAGACTGTCGTGGCAGGCCTGTTTTTTTATTCTGTTCTGAATAGCAACCCCTAATCGGATGAATGACCACAGCAAAGGATTTAAGCAAATCTAGTGGCAACATGAAGAGGCACCAAAAAAAACTGCTAATGAAAAGATCGGAGAAAGTGTTTGGACTGTCATGAGGATCTTGAGGGCAAGAACAACCAGAACACAAGTAGCAGCATAAGGCGTGAGAGAGTGACAACGATCGAATCAGCGTGGCACTAAGAGCAAAGAACATGATTAAGGTTATAATGGCATGAAGACTTAGCAGCTGCAATGGTAGAAGGAAACGGAGACTGTCCAAACGGTGGTAAAAGTAAGACAGGACATAATGAAACAACAACGACTCTACGACGCTGACCTGAAAGGACGAAGATGAGGCAACAGATGGTGGACGGAAGGGCTTAGCTTCCTGCTGCTTCGTAGCTCGCGAGCGTTGTGGCAGGATGCGCGCCGGCGCATCGCGTGCCGCCCGCAGCTGAGCCGAGGGCTCCTCTCAATCTGCTGTCATCCTAGAACCTCCGAGAATACTCCAAGAATTCCTGTATCACGAGGGAGCTCTTTTCAGCTTTGTGATTGTGTTACAGACACTAGCAATGGAAGCATTGCTATTTCGTTCGATTCTAGATACGCGGAACACCTAACACGACACTTGAACAAAACCCTTGCTTAGCCGTACATACCCTGCACCAGCAACCACAACTTTGACTCTGCTGGCATGCATGCTAGCCGAGATGTGGACAAGTGAGGACCGCTTTTGCTTCACTTTCGCTGGCCACCGGCTTGGAGGCGTAGAGATACTGAAGATGCACACACCGAAAGTCACATGTGTGACCAGCCGCCTAACTCGTGGATCATACCCCTGGTTTGCATAATATGTGGCACCTTAGCACACGGAAATATCCCGTTGGTTCCAAAAGCCCGTATCGCAGCAGCATCTCCACGGACGCATTGAGGTAAGAAGCTGGGCGACACAATTGCAAGCAGGTAAGCAGTAAGCGAGCCACGTTAACATGATACGTTCGACTGGCAGACCTGCAAGATGAACGTGTCAAAGTCGATCCAGACGGTGTCTATTGCAGCGCTGAGTAGCATCGGTAGGAAGGCGTGTTTGATGTAGATCACATGTCCTCAACTTGTGTGGCACGGCTGTCGCGCGCTTCCTTTTCTTAGCCATGACACGAATGGAGGAAGCACATGGTCTTAGAACATCCACATTGCGTTGAGGAACCTTCGACCGCCGGGACGCACAGGACCGTCGTTTCTTTTGGGGACTCGCCTGCAGACTATTGCAGATGGACATAGGGGTATGTCAGCTGCTTCTTTCCCCAGCTCTACCTGATGCAGCTGTCCGTGTCAAGTTGCGATACACATCCAGCTCGGCATTTGCAACAGCCTGATGATGCGACGATATGCCACGAAACTCGCTCGCGAAACAGGGCAGAGGAGACTGCCAGTGCTCTGTCCTGGTTGCACTTGGCAAACGCATCCTGGTCCATGCAAGCCACGATCAACGCCGGCAGGCCAACCACCAAAGCTCGCTTGATGAATCCTCTGCAGGGGCCGTGATACTGACGCGTCGACACGATTAATTCACAGCCCAGCGCAGCCCCGGACTCAGACAAGGGCTTCTGCCAGGTTCAACCAGCTTGCTGCAAGGTCTTGGGGTTTGCCATTCCCGGGGAGTCTGAGATCTCGCACTCTTTTTGGGTTTCCTTCTCGCGAAGTTCGGATGCTCTTACACCTTCAAACTCCTGCTACTGTAAAAACTTAGTGTAAGAGTCCAGCCCGGCACGATTCTGCTGAGCTTCAACTCGCAGGGCTCAGACGCACTCGGGCTTGACTGGTGGGGCTGGCGGAGAATGGAAAGTGGTTATACTACACAGCGCACGAACATACCCAGGAACGGAGCAATGACAAGTCCCTCCCGGTTTTATTAGAGAGTCTCTATGCAGGTCGTCGGTGACTGGGTGAGGTTGCGACACACTTGCCCGAACCCGTCCCGTAATGTAGTTCGCGAAAGGCAGGCCACCAACAGCAGTCACGTAAACCATCACCTCTGGATCTTCTCGCACAGATTTCAACTGCGCCAGGAACGAAGTAACCAGCCGAGTCAACGAGTGTCCGTGCTTTCCAGCATTTGCAGATAGGTGCGTCAACCTCAAAGCAGGATCCAATCGCAAAGCATCAAAAGCGTGCGGCTCGGCAGGCAGCTCGCAAAGTTCGGCGGAGGACCACCTGAGTCGAAACTCAGGAAACCGTTTGGAGACGCTTGCCGAGGTATGCTGACCGGGGAATACTAAGTTGTCGGCACGAGGTCGTAGGAGCGAAGGGCAAACATTCCCATCTTTGCCAAGCCATGAAACACTCCCCAAACTGCAGCAGCCCTAAGGATCTCTGGTGTGAAGGATCGCATTATCCCGTGAGCCATATTGCTGAAGCGCTCAAAAAGGGAAGGATTGGACATCAGGGCCAACATGGCGGCTGAAACTCCAAACGCCGCAGCACCCGCAGGACATGTTGGCACGTAGGTGGTCGAGAACTCCCTGGGATCCTTCATCGTTGCAGAAACGAGTCCGTCCAGACCACGTAGAAACTTCAGGCCCTCGATGTCACGTCCAGAAGCGTAGGGTGTGTGACGTTTGATCATGTCCAGCATGCGCTCAGACGTATACCCGGCAACCGACACGCCTTTGCACACGAGACGGTCTATCGGAATCTCCTCCATCTGGTGTGGCTTGATTTCGGACAAGTAGATATGAAGCAATGCAAACGGGTTCCACTCGGTTGCAGCTGTTACGTGCAGGGGCGCCAGGTCCAGCAGGACGGACAGATCACGGGACAAAAGCTCAATCAACGTGTCTCTTTTCAAATGCTCCAGGAGCTTGGTGTAAGCGGCCTGCAGAGGGCTTGCCGAAAGCCGACTGGTGTCCAGGTAAGCCATGCACGTAGCGAAAATCGATGCTGTAACAGCTCCAAAGGGGCACTCGTTCAATGCATGTGGGAAGCGCCACAACACCACGGCAGCAATCTCCAGGATTTCGAGCTGCAGGGCCTCACGCTTGGCCGCAGCTGCAGCATCTTCTCTGATCAGCAAGCTGCGATCGTCCAACGTCGATTTCACCAAATCGCCCAGTCGCTGTCGCAAAAAAGGCCAGTTCACAATAGGCTGGCCCTTGAAGTCACGCCGACACTCGTAGTCTTCGATTTCCACTGCAGGAAACCAAGACGTGAATTCAGATGGCTCCGCGTTCTCGAAGGGCACCAGCGCCCACAAGATCACTCCAGCCAACCAGCGGCCTCAATTGTAACTAAGTGAAGACAATACAGCTGGAAACAACCCGACTCTGAAGCAAGGCCTGGACAACCCTGCATTCTGGAGCTGATGTGACGACATGGGCGAGAACATTGGATAGAGCTGCGGGGTGGATAGGTAGTCCATGCTTTCACTTACGGGGCTTCAGGGCTTGGCACGCGCTTGATCCATGTGGCTTCCAAGAACTCTGAGTTTATCATGACGCACCTGTTTGGGCCAACATGACATGCCAAGGTGGTGGTTGCTTGCTGCGTGCGCTGGTCAGGCCTGCGAGTCTTTTCAAAGTCTCAGTCGCACTCGTTGCACGAAAAGCCATCACGCCATCCAAACACGTCAGACGGCAAAAGAGTTGGCCATGATCGGACCCACTCTTTTCTTCTTGACGTGGGTGGGCTCCACATTTCGTCCGCCTTCTGTGGGCCGGCCTGCAGAATGCTCGTCTCGCCCCCTCGCCCTCTCGCCCGTGCGCATGTTCTCCTGGCAGGCTGTGAAAAGTCCATGTCGGGCCTGCTTGAGAAGGCATCCTCCGTGTTTTCAAGGTTCTCCGATCTCCAGTTCCCCTGCATTTTGATGGCATTCGGCAATTGGTCGGTCGGTCAACGCGGGTGCCCCGTCAACGCGCCAGCTACAGTTCTGATCTGTCACCAACGGCCACGAGATTGGGATGAGAAGATGCGCGGCGAAATTCTAGAATCACCAGCTCTGCATCATCCAGTTCAACGTACGTCTGCATATTGGAAGCTATCACGCATTCACCCTGCTGCCGCTTCGCTCCCTGAAAGGAGCTACACCGCCACTTGCTGGACGAACTCGCCAACCTCTTCACAATACGAAATCGGAGATGACCCATGTCGCCGGATGGCAGCTCGAAGGCATCTCGTAAGGTGAAGGCTTCCGTCTTAGTTTTGGGCTTCGCAGACTTTTTCGTGGATGGATTTCTCAAGGTTAAGAAGCCCAGACCATCTCGCCAGGCTGCCCAGCCGTAAGGCTGGACCTCGCATGCGCGGAAGATGGCCCAATGCGTGTCTTCGAGGGTCAAGGAATTCGTCCGTGCCCACTGCAAAGCCTCGGCCAGGACGTCCCACCGACCTGGATCCATCAAATCAGGCGAAACGTAGAGCTCCTGCAGCAATAGGCCAAGTGAAGCATGCGACCAAACTTCTTGTGCCCAATCTAGCTCGTTGGCAAGATGTAGCCCAAGCGCCCGAGCATCACCATGCTTTGACAAAACAGCGCCGTGGATCATCAGGCGCGAAATGGGGAAAAACCTCGCGCGCTGCACAATGGCTGCTGAGATAATGCACCTGGACAGACAGTGGTCACAAGCAGCTGCAACGACCATTCAAACGCAGAACCCTCCCGACCATACCAATTGGCGCTTGCCAGGTCACTCGCGGAAGAGCTGCCAGCGCTGTCGGATGGTCAACCCCGGCCGCTCATCTTCCGAGAAGGCAAGAACGTCCCGGTGGCCCCGCCAGATGCTGTCCACCTGAAAGCACGGACCCAAGTGATTCTGATCCGAACAGTCCTCTACACAAAAAATCGGCCCCTGGGAGGTAGGTGAAGCGAGGCACCCAAAGAAGGAAAAACGGACTTGGCCAGGTCCCCGTTGTCAAGTTGATCCAGATTCGATCCTTTGCAGCCTGAGCGTACAACACCGGGCTGCAACTCGAGTTGTCAGCACATGGTCGACATGCACCATATGACTTATGCTTCAGCCCAGGTTCCGCGCTCCTGCAGGGTGCAAACAAACGAACCACTGCAACGGAAGAGTCATTCGGGAAAGAGACGCGGAGCTACTATACGAATGACTTCGGATACATGCCCTCAGCAAGTGCATTTGTTTTGCCGTTTTGCCAAGTTCTCATCTGCTGATAGGAAATCCGGCACGGAATCAAGCGAAGGATGCCAATGAGGCGGATAGTCACGACAGGACTTTCGCAGGCTCGGGCATGTGACGATTGGAAAAGTACTAGTGACCTTGACTCGACCATATCGGGAGAAATTCTTTTCCTCCTTTGCACAACACGAAAGATGCCGAGAACCACTCAGCTTCCTAAATGGAAACTGTGTTGAAGATCCTCTGCAACGTGAACTTTTCGCGAGGCGGTTGGTGCCCAGTCTCGTTGGTATGAGCTGAGCTGCACATGCAAGCTCATGTCAACGTGCGACAGGCTGGGACATGTGGGAACTGTCAAGGAGCGATTTGCGGTGCACGTTGTGTCTGATCTTCGGCATCTCGAACTTGCTGGGTGAGTCGTTTCCGATGTCCGATGTTGCACACTTTGCAATGAAGCCTGTCCTTGGAGGGCTAAACCAACATCAGACTACTCACACATTTCGTCGGCAAGCGGCACAGTTATCTACATAATGTCGTAACACGACAACGCGGTGTGATTGACAAGTTGGTTTGTTCGCTCCCGTCCTCTGTCTGGCACCGTGGCTTTTTGGTTCCACTTCTCGCAGAGCATGCGAGAACGAAAGCATGGCCTCGATCTCACCTGGAACTTCACTCGGGTCGCCAGCAATGCCATCAAACCTTGTGACGCGGGTCAGGCCATGCTACCGCTAATGGCAACCATTCAGCCAGCAGTCCACGCCAAGGAACTTGAATAAGTTTACACCCGCCTCGTGGCGGAAACTGGCAGCTGCTGCTGTGAACTTCCTGCACCAGCGGCGAGTTTGTAAGCGCAGAAGATGCAAAACAGAAACAAGGAACATGCAATTGGTTACGGACCCGCCGAATGCGCATGTGCAGCAAAGCATCGCTCTGTACAGGGGACCTCAGGGGTTGTCAGCAACAAAGCAGAAGCATTTGGCTCTTGCAAGTATCCTAAGACTTTTACACAAGTGACATGCAGCGCAAGACGATCGACCGCGCCTGCAAGAGAAAGGCCGTGCCTGAGGGGAATTCGCTGGTGTTACCCCTGATGCCAGGAAATGCCGTTTCTAGATTACCTTCGCCAACCAGCAATCATGACTAGAGGAGATACCGGCCGAGTCAAAACTCGGTAAAGAGCACTATTCACCGGACATCATCCTGTGTCCGAGATGCTCGTTGACTTCCAGGCCCGTTCGCTTAGCTTCTGCTACTCGCAGGTCCTTGGCCTGACCATAGCCACCCCACGGAGAAAGCCAGATGCCATTGCTACCTCAGTACACAGAAGAGCATACTGAAAAGTGCAGAGTAGCTGCGAGAGTATACATAGATATAAATAAATATATATATATATATATATATGTTATACACACATAATTTCTGCAAGTGGGAAACAGTTTCTGGAGTCTGCCGCTCGCACCAAGTTGTCGAAGCCGTTCGGAAATCTTGCCACATTGAAAGCCCACATTCCTCGCTGTGGATCGTCCCAGCCGTCGTCCCACAAGAATGAGTCAATCTGCACACCCCGCTTCGCGACTAATTCATCATGAAAGGTGCTAATTTTCTCAAGCGCAGACGTCTCGTTCATTTGGTCTTGCGACAACTCGGCCAACAATTGTCGCAACCAAAGGCTTTGCTGAACTGTGGTTGCTCGGCGAGGATCGAAGAAGGACTGATCCTGCCATGAAGTGAAGTCGTACCAACTGTTGTAATGGACCAGTGGCCCTTGCCAGGACTGCGGGCGAGCTTCTGACAAGTATAGGTTGAAAGAACGACGAGCTTGTGATTCTTCTGCGAAGGCACCTATGACCGCGCCGTAGTCAAGGCTTTGAGTCTTCCAGTCCATCGATGCCAAATGATTGACGGAGCCCGTCAAATCACTGTTAGGAGTCTTGTTCAAGTCATGCGCAGCGAGCGGATGCTCCACTGCAGCAAAGAACTGTTTGTCAAGCAGGATGGGCGATCCAGGAACGGCACCAGTCGACAACGTGTGGCCGCAGCTTGCAGTGTTCCGGGTGCTTACAGCTAGTAATACCAACTTTGCTGGAAAGGCGCGATCGGCTGCCAGCTTAGCAGAAACCCGGAGGAAAGCTGCAAGGCCGTCATCTTCTGCCCGCGATTTTGCAGATTGCACGGTCACACTCCACGCAACTTGGAGGTCAAGCCTGGTCAAAGCTCCAGCCCAAGCACTGTGCGCTCTTCAACGCTCGACTACCGCGATCACTTGCGATGCATGCCGTGCTGCGGGCAGTCGAGTTGGACGGATAGTCGGCTGAATTCCACCACCGGGGGCTCACGCATGATGCCTTGGATCTTTCAAACCTCTCTGGTGCTGTGGTGGGGCTAGCTTCATCCTTTTTTAACGGAGCCCGAGCACACTGCGATGAGTTCACCCCAGTGATCTCTGTCAATGGCCTCCAACTACAAACGAGGCTCGCTCAGCTAGATCGATTACTGCACGGCTTCCACCCCGTCCATCTGCCTCTCTGGCAGATGCACCTCGATGTCAAACAGCGGCTCCAAGCGAAGGCGATTGCCTGCAGATCGGACTCACAGCAACAAGCAATCAAAAAAGCATGCTGACAAAAAAACATGAGATGACAAAGGTAATCTACGGCTCGTTGCACTGCCACTTCCCAGCATTTGAAGCTGCGCCGGACCTGGCCCACGGCTTAAGACAAAGAAGACCAACATCTGAAGCTTCACCTATTCACTGCTTCGAACGGATGTCGAAACCCGTCCGTCTGGCCTTGGCTTCCACGTCACGGTGCCCTGCTGCAAGGCCCCCTGTGATGCTTGCAGCTCGAACTCGAGGCCTCCAGCTGCAAGCGTCCAAGTCTCTGCCTGCCGACGCGGTCTGTGAAACATAGCTACAAGCATCGAAGTAAAAAGCAACTGCGAGCGCCTTCCCACTGATCAGGTCCGGGGCCGCAACGACCGCGAACAGGACGGAACGTAACATGCTGCATGCGATGGTTGCAGAAACGCTTGCGTCAGTCGGCAACAGTCCATCACAGGCCGACGGATCCTGAGCCCTGCAGAGCACTGCAAATTGAACTTGTGGCTGTCATGGCAGTAAAGATCAGCAAAACCCCATAACAACACAGCTTCTGCATCGGGCCATTTTCTGTGGCTCTGCGAAAACTGGGTTTAGGTCTAGCTTCTTTAAGAGATTGATTGACCAGTTGATGTGCTGGTCCGAAACATCAGTCGTCCTTTTTCTTCTTCACCCTTGGTGATAACAAGGCTCAGCGCTAGGAAATGAAAGCTCTCGTCATAACACGCATATCTGCATCTCGTGCCAAGGTGCAGCTCCAATGAAAACGTTCCACCAGGCTCGCCGCCTAGCGTGACAAAGCCTGGCGGCAGCTCTTCTGGCCACTTGGACTTTAGTTTGAGTTTAGTGCGAAACGTGGTCCGAAGCTCAGGTTGGATTGGACACTTTACGTGCTGCCTACCGACATACCCAGACTCACGTAAAATTGATCCGAAGCACGAGATGTCGCTTTTCATTTTCTGTGGGAGTGATGGAAACAACGGTTCAGCCCAGGGTTCGGCCAGAATCCTGTGCGGCCAGGCAATGCAGACAGGCTGCCATAGATCAAGTTGTCTCCGATGGTTTGAAAATCACCATCAAACGCCAACTTGCCATCGGTGAACTGGATACGCCGTCCCGTGAAAATGCCTTTGAAGCCTTTCTCCTTGGACACCATCTATAAACATGTGCAGTGTGGAGGAAAATGCATGCTGATGCAGGATGCCTGGTTTTGCAACCTTCTCTTCATGCTAGCCCGGGCGCCAAGTAATCGGGTGACTCTGCACGCAGATACTTCAGGAATTCCTGGTACACTGCTGGCTGCAATCGCACTGCACAGACTTCTTCAAGCGAAGACTAGTTTTAGCCCAGTCTTCCTGGCGTGTCATGCCCTTGCTTGCATCTGCGCAATTCTCCGCAAACTCGCCCTCGGATGGAAATCCTTCGACAGTAGCCACCTGGGACGAGCACAGAAAATTAACCCTACTCAACAATATCTAAGCGGGGGCAGCACGCATTTGCTGTTCCGGACTACAGTAGTTCAACCAACCTCTGGACCGCATCAAGCTGAAGCTGTGAACACTGAAGCCGCCTGCTTGAAGAACTGCTGCAACATTGGCAGAGACATGTGTTGACAATCCTCCTCTTTCGGCATTGGCTGCTTAAAATCGCGCCACTGCTCATTGAACTTGTGGAATGCATAGGCCGTCATATCTTGATCCTTCTGCTCACCTGATTCATAGGCGATCGGGTAGTCTTGGTTGAATGTAACTATGTCGTCGATGTCACCACGCTTGGAAAAAATCTGCGCCTCCGTGTCGGATGTAGCTGTGAACTTTAGGTCCAGCTGCTCGCCTCGGAAGAGGCCTGGGTGCTGAATGTTGCCGATGAACTTGTCGCCTGCCACAATGTGTGGCAAGTGCCACGGCGGGCGCTGCTTCTTCTGCTCGATCTCTTCTGCTTTGTTTTCCAAGCCAAGTTTCTTCAAGTACAACTGTTTCCTTTCTGTGGGGTTGGAGAAGCCACCTGCCTCCTGGCGTTTCACCAAGCGGAGCTGCTGACCCATCCATTTTTGCATGTTCTGGTTGACAGTGGGGTCTCGCCGCAAAATGGGCTTGTACGCTAGTCTCGCCACAAGCTTGCGAGGGCTAGATCTCGTCCTGATCCCTGGGACCCAGCTGTATCCAGGGAGGACCACTAGAACGACCCCCAAAAGCAAACATCGGCACAAACCATGCCGCGCCCCAACCATCCTGCTTGGTCTTCTAAGCCAGCAACCACCCACTCTGTCGGCTGGCTTGATCCAACGCAAGGAATGCAAGGCACGTAACACTGCAAGTTGTCCAATCGAAAGCGCACAAGCTTTGGCAGATGTGACAAACTCCCTGCAGATGTAGGGGAAGTGTCCGGCAGTCCAGCAACAGAGATGTGATCGAAACTCAATTTTTTCACCTGCGACGTGGAGTTTACTTCCGGCCTCCTCCGGCATACGGCAGGTCAAAACGGTCCGAAGCAGTGCGACTCCGAGGCGGCCAACACATCGTGTGCTCAGACTGGGCACCCCGGCCAGGGCCAGTTTGGTTCGGCCGAAAGCATCCAAAAACTCACACATCGAACGCGAAGCTAGCAGGCAACACGGAACATGCCGTCGAAACAAAGAACCCTCTGATGCCCGATGCGGGACAAACTACGACGACATGGGTTAATAGGGTGGAAACGGCAACGACAACAAACCAGCTGTGAAGGCCAGTGGAGGAGCGGAGAACGCAGCGCCCACTGCCAAAATCGCCTGAGGCAGCTCCGAGGAATAAGTCGTGTTGGGACAAAGGCGAGGCACTGCAGCGCGAAACCGATGACAGCCGCAGCTCACGACTGAAAAAAGTGGGTGTGGTCACACTTTGGCCATGGGGTTTAAACATTGGAAGTACAATGATTTCAATGGCGTTCCGGCGAGGCGCATCCACTGCGCACGCATGCGGTTTGCATACGGATCCGCCTGCGGTGACATGCGGTGACCTCCCGCCCGGGTCTGCCAAGAGGCTGGCACGCGGGTCGCCCGAAACGTGCACCTTGCAAACATGAATCTCCCAGTCCCCGTGCCCCATCTGCACCGGGTCGAGATCCATGGGCGTTACAACAATATACTTTTGGCAATGCCGTACCGCACCGTTCAGCTTACCGCGCCATCCGCGCCGAACCGCAATGCAAACATCCCTCGCCGACACCCTTACATCCCACTCCTACAATCTCCTACGTCCCTGCACGCCTGCACCACATCGACACCACCCTCCCGCCCGACCCCCCTTTTCTACACCTCTACGTAACTACCCTGCACAATTTCACCCCCACATCCCTGACAAGCCCCCGTCCACACGCACCCTACGCCTCTCCAGCTATCGCCGGCGTCTGATTGCCGGGTCTCCCAGATCGCAGGACTTCCGAAAATGCCGCAGCAGCGTAAAGCACAAAATGTGCAGTCCCCCAGATTCGCACGAGTTACGAAAATGCCGCAGCCCTGGGGTCCCTTCAATCACGTCGGTTGCGGCAGCTGACGCACACAATTTATGACCGGCGTAGGAAGGGCAGAAAGGGCGTGGGGTGTTGCAGAGGGGTGTAGAAGCAGGGTGGGTGACGGATTGCAGGGTGTGGAGGTGTAGCGGTGGATGGCGGTTGTAAGGGTAAAGGGTTAAGGGTGTAGGGTGTAGCAGCGCAGGGGTGTGGTGTAGGGGTATAGGGGTGTAGGTGCAGGGTATAAGGTTTTTCGGAGGTGCGGGGCGAATGTAGAAGTGAAGGATGGTGAAGGGTTGGGGGTGCAAGTGCAGGCGTTTTGTGCCGGGGTGTAGGAGTGTAACTAATGGGCATCGTTTGCACAACCTTATCGATACTGCCTGCGTCCGCTGCGGCAGGGTCTGACTCTCGACTTGGCCTTGCTCTTCAGCTCTGGCGCAAGCGACGGGAAACTTACCCGCCGCATCCTGCTACCGCGTCGCTTTCCATGAGAAGACTGGTGGCCGCTGGGACTTCGATTCCACTGCAGCCTTCTTGCAGCTACTAATCGCGAGCGAAAGCCCCAAGTGCGCGCGATGCCGTCCCGTCGAGCCCGCGTGCAACCAATACACGCATACTTTTATTTGTTGCAAGAAATGCGCGAGCAGAAACAAGTGACGCCCATCACAAAACCTTATGTTATTATGATAAGTTAAAACAATTCATGCTCTCCCCACATACTGGCAGAAATGTAATATCTTTTGCCTCCTGCCCTGTGCAAACTGCAGGGTCGGCCCCTCGTCGGCAAGCCTGAGCACATCCTCCAGGCGTGGTCCTGCGGCAGCCCAAGGCAGTACTGCCCACCGCTCGCTCACTGCAACGGAAAACAGACCCCACCCCCACCCCGCGCCCAGCCCGCTGCCGCTACCCGGCGGCTGTGCCCGCAGCCGACGACAGCGGACGAGACCGCAGCCTCATTCCACCGGCCGCCTATCTCGGACCCGAGCACAAGGATCTTGTGCGGGCGCTGACGGCACAGTTCCGGATGCGGCCGATGACCGCAGATGTTTCGGCGTGGTTGCGTATGGAGCTACGGCGCACGGCGGCGAGCTCTGCCGTGACGCGCCGCTGGTGTCGCACTGAAGCGTGTTGGGAGCTCTGGTGCGGCCGAGCCACTTGGCTGGCTTGAATCCAGGCATCCTCCACAAGCCTAGTGCGCGCCGTGAGGAAGCCGGTCCGCGGGCATGGCAAAGCCTGATCGCATAGGGGTCCACCTGCGGGATTGTGTGCAAGGACGTGGGGGTCGCTCGCAGCCTTCGCAACGAAGCGATCTGCATTTCCGCGGGCTTCAGCTGGAGTGGGAGGGTACAGCAGTCAGGCAAACGCCAGCAAGCGGGCCCGCCTTCGAACGTTGGAAACCTAGTTCGTTGGAGAACGTGGTTGGAGAGCCTAATCGGACGGCGATAAGGAGGAAAGCATGTGGCCAGTCGCCCAAGCATGCCCAAGCCGCGCGCAATGTCCGCGTCGCTGACATGAACAGTGATGTTCCAGTCAGCGATACACGGCTCATCGGGGTACTGTGCAACGGCTTGCTTCTGTGGCATGGCGCCCAGCTCGCCGTCGATGCAACCATCGTGTCGCCCCTGACGCGTGATGGTCTGCCTCACCCAAGCGCCAAGCGCCAATGAATTTTTTTTGTTGCGCACTATTTTGCAACCACTACGAGCGCGGTCCCAGTGCAACGGCGGCCTACATGCCTGCTTCGCGCGAGACCGTTTTAGTCCCAGCGCGCGTCGGCGAGGACCTCGTGCAAGTCGGGCATGGGTCCTTCACCCAACTCGGCAGCCGGGGGCAGCTCGAGGAGCGTCGCCGCGTAGGCGCGCTGAGCCGCGACCGCGAGCATACCGGACCATCGGGCGACCCAAGACGAGACGGCGGCG